CTTGTCATTTCCTATTTTTTAAAATCCTATTAAAAATATGCCTGGTTGCCTTTGTCAATTTAAATAGATAGCACCCTTATAGATACAGAAGTTATCTGTTGAGAATTACTCTTATACATCCTATTGCAGAAGGGAATATTAACTTTGACATATGTAGACATCATTTTAAAACTCATTTGAAATCAAATATTACACAACAATTAAACTTGGAATGAAATCAGAATAATGAATTTAAATGTTTTGATTTGATTGGTCCAAAAGAGGTGTTAGAAGCGCCTTAATAGATGTCTGTTGTCTCACATCTTTGGCTTGGTTTGTAATAACTTACATATTGTAGACCTTTGTCTCTATTCAGATAAGATTTTGCTATTTTTGGTTAGCCAGAAAGCAGAGCAAACAGTTTTCTTATTAAAAAAACATGACTAAATGGAGTAGTCCTCTCATAAAAGGGAGATGTCTATTTTTACTTTACCTTCCAGAAAACAGTAGGAATGGTTTGCTACATTTAACATTGATTTAGATATCATTTATTATATTTCAGGCCAGAGAGAAAATATGATAGGGAGGAAGGCCGCCCTGAATTTAATAGCTTTTTGTTCCTACTCTAGCAAGCACACTTTAATATGTGATACACCCTGCTTAAGCTACTGCTTAGAACAAGGGGTAGCTGCTTTTTATTAAATGACTCACTGCATTTTATGAAATCCAGTGCACTTTAGTTACACAAGAAACAATAAATGGTATTGCGTATAGTAAGAAATCAGCAGCTTTCTTCTCTTTGTTCTGTTCATGAGGAATTGTAATTCTGTTCAGAGTTCCATTGTTGTCTAGTGCTCGAAGGATAGCAAACAACCACCATTTAAATGTTTCTTTGCATCTGATCCAGTTGGGGCTTGAAGAAGGAGAACAACCATATGATACATGTTCCAATAATCTCAGAAGGCTCGTCCTTTTTATCTGTTTTTATTTCAAGCAGCAAAGCTGTCTGTTAAAGTCTAGTCCTGTGATCCAAGGCTTCCTCCTCTCCCTTCAGGCCTTCCACTTTGCAAATGTAGATCATCCTTTTTGGGGAGTTAACCATTTTTTATCTGGTCTACTCCTTGATGACCAGGAAGATATTTGACAATAAGCCTCATTTCCCATTCCATTCCAATTATATTATGCCAGTGGGGAAAAATGAGTCTCTACCCCGTTAACATTCATTTAAAATATGTTTTTGAGCCTTGGTCTTGTCTAGTTCCTATGATACTTATGCTATTTTGTAGACTTATCCTTTAAATGCTTAATTGAAGGACATTTTGTACATCAAATATGTTATTTTAACCGCTTCTTTATTAGTTAGCGTAAAATAAAAACATGTTCTGTACGACAGACCAGGGTATTTTTGTCAGAAGTATTTTAAAAGTTATTTTTTTTGTAAGTATAAAGAAAATGTGAAAGAATGGTGCAGTATTTCAAAATTAACATTAAAGAAAGCTTGAAATTATAACCAAGCTCTGAGTCTGTATAGCAGAAATAGGATTAAACGAAGTTAAGGAACCTCTCTAGAATTCTGTTAAGCATCAGGAGAATATTCAGTAACTTACTATGATGGATACTTTGATCATATTTTGTTTGTAGTGCAAAACCAATGGGGAAGCCAGATTCATGTGTCAAGAAAGTTGTAAAACGGGGCAAAACTCACTCAATGTCTCACTTAGCAATGGAAATTTTAGACTCAGTTGTGGTCATAAGTCAATGACTATCTGTAAGTGTGGAAAAGAAGCTAGCTGTCTTTTCATTGTTTGTGAAAATCTATCTGAAATTACTTAATGGAATGTGGATGGGTTTCCGTTCTCATACCACATTACTGATAGTATCAGTGGCTCTGCCAGGAGTATATCTTTTGCTGCATAATCAGGATTTTATACCAGTTGAATATTCTATAATCATAATGGTTCTTTTTAAAAATCTGCTTCTGATAACAGCTTAGTTTTCTTTTAAAGAGAGATTCAGAGGAAAATTTTCATGCAGACTTGCTTTTTTAATATAGTAGCAACTGGTATGATTGTGTAATTATGAGTAACTTCTTTTAATCAGTGGTAGAGTAAGCGATCTTGAGAAATCCCTACAGAAAACTGGGGAAGTCAATATAGTAATGGAGGGTCAGTTTAATGTAGTGTAATTCTGGTGCTGCCACTTCATAAGCTAGATCAGGGGTGTCAAACTGGCAGCATGCATGCCAGATGTGTCATGTGCAGGCCATGTCCATTCTAGCTCCATGAATGGGAATAACATCAGGAAACATCCAATGACTGCAACATGACACAGTGAGTTTGACATCTGTGAGCTAGATGAAGAAAAATAATTAGTTGACTTGACAACCAATGTCAAGATTTTAACCAAGTACTCGTGATCCTTTCTGAATCTTGACCTGTTTTTTTTTTCTTATTTGTTGCCTTATGGATTTCTATTTCTGTACATAGTATATTCAACTACTGTGTATCAGTAGTTTAATGAAAATGGTTTCACAAGGTGTTGATGATCAGAATCTGAATATGTATCAGAAGCAGTATAAAGCCCGTTTATACTTTTCATTGTTTTGCCTAACTTGTACCTAAATCACAGGATAGAATTATGAGATCTCTGATAAAAAATATTACGTTTTCTTGCTGTTTTAATGGATATTTCAGCCCCACTTCTTAACAAAAATCAGTTCCAAAATACCATTAATAAAAATAAAGGGCAAATAAATAAAATGAGCATTATAGAATTGCTGTTTTCATTTATAGGTCATAATTTTTAGTATCTGTTCTGTGATGAGAGCATACTTGCTTATGTTGTTGCTTCATGTCAAAATAAATGACACTGAATTGCCTCAGTCTAAATAGTTCTGTAATAAGATTTAAGATAATCTGTGTTACCTGTACCTTCTCTGTTTCTCCAGGGACAATTTGCGCATAGTTTGTATCTCTTTCCTGCTCTCCTCCTTGTGTTTTTATCTGGTTCTTGCTGTGCATGGATGTGTTTTTAGCTCACCCTATTATATCTTGGCTTCTCCACCCACTGCAATTTTATTTTTTTAGCTAGTGAGTGAGAAACAAAAATGCCTCTGTGACAACTCTAATTTGAATGTGCCTTGACAAACTGTATAATTAAGTACTTTTGTGCAGATCCTGGGAGCAAACAAATCCCAGCTCCCGAGAGTTAAAGTCAGGGTCTGCTTTCCAGCACTGACTTCAAGCATGTATCTCCATCTAGAGATGTGACACAATGCAGCTTATCCAAGGCGGAAGGAATTCAGGATCTGTCTGAAATTAAGAAGGAGGACACACAGACGATTTGAATAATGAGAACAATCCTCATTATAACTTCAGAATTGAGACCATTTAATAATACTGAGTAATTCCAATGGTCTTAGACATTATATTACTGATATTCTATCTTACTCTGCCAGTTTAGATTCAGATTTGTTTTAATTTGGGCTACTGTATGGAGAAGTTATGACAGTTGAGAGAGTAACATTTAATCTGCTCTGTTCTACACGATTGAGGAATCCCCTGATTTTCATTCCTACTATAGATGCAGACATTTACAGATATTATTACACCTTGATCATCTGTATGAAGCAGACCAGTACTCAGAAATCATTTTCCTTATGCTAATTTTCTGCAAACAGATAGAAGCAACAGATAGTTCTTTTCAGAATTTGGTAACAGAAGACTGTGTTAAGACTAAGTGTTACTTTCAAGCAGAGTGTTAATTCAGCAGGTTCTGATCAGTTCTGGAGAACCGATAGCAGAAATTTTGAGTAGTTCGGAGAACTGGCAAATACCACCTCTGACTGGAGATTTTACAATATCCTTCCTCTGCCACGCCCATAGAACCAGTACTACAAAAATTTGACTCCCACCAACACTTTCAATTTCAATATAACATATTTCTATATCTTGCCTGCCAAAGTCAATTTACCAAATTGTAATGAGTAATTGTAACCATTGCCATTGTTTTTCCTTTCCATATTCTCTTGTACTCCAAATGTCCCTCGGGGATATGCAAACATTTTGATTCAAGTAGAGCTATTCAAAGCAGTTTGAATCAAAATGTTCTGCACGTAATTTCTTTCCCTTCTGACAGCCTAAATATATTATTTCAAGATCTGCTTCTGTCTGAATTCCATTCTACCTTCTTTCTTTAACTTCTCACCAATTAGAAATTCCACACTTTGACTTTAATTGCATTTTTATACCAGTGTATATTGAATAATCTGAAACAGTTGATTGGTAGCTTTTTGTTGAACTAAGGCCATTGCTTTTTGTCCTTAACAATGATTTCATAATTTTTTCATTTATTTGATTTCTGTAGTCACCCCTCTCAACCAGTGATTCTGGTGATGTACGAGGTTTAGATGATGTTTTTAATCTGTTAAATGTTTTGATCCTATAAAAGGAACAAATCTTTTATTTAGTGTCTTATAAACATCACTGCCATATGTCACTTCCGAGTCTGTTTTACACTATGGTGTTTGAAATATTTCTAGCAATCTCTGGTCGATGGATTTTTTTTTGCTTCAATTTAATAATAAAATTCTAAATTTCAGCATTAAAATCTGATGACTGATGCTTAAAAAGTAACATCTTTGTACCACAATTTTTAAAGGCATGATAATTCCATTTATGTTGCTGCCTTTAATTTATCATGATCTTCATATCCGGGCTATTTTATGTTTATATATGTGCGCACAAGGAGTTAATTGATAAATGTTACAGTGCACAGGAGTAAAGACAAAGAGAAGAAAAGTAGATAAGCTTACGAGTATAATGTGATACAGATTTTACAAATACTCCTGAGGGAGATTCAAAATAATTTAAAAATATTAAATTTGCTTTCCCTAAATAATACACCATGTATTTGAACTCTTAGTAATATAAGGAAAGTTTAACGCATATTGAACAATAAGCAATGTAATAGATTGTGGGAAATGAGATATTGATATTTTCGTTTCTGTTTCAGATGATTGACATCCAAATACTATGATTTCAGGAATGAATGCTTGGACCTAATATAATGCTTGGAACTTAAACGGAACCATAGGAAGAAAAATCCAGAGAATCTCAAGTCATAATCAAATTACACCAGAAATTCAATCATGTATGGAAGTGCTCGGTCAGTTGGGAAAATTGAGCCAAGTAGCCAGAGTCCTGGACGTTCACCACGGCTGCCACGTTCACCACGATTGGGCCATCGTCGAACCAACAGCACAGGGGGCAGCTCTGGAGGTAGTACTGGAGGTGGAAGTGGCAAGACACTTTCAATGGAAAATATCCAGTCCTTAAATGCTGCTTATGCCACGTCAGGCCCTATGTACCTAAGTGAACACGAAAATGTGGGCGCAGACACACCTAAAAGCACCATGACTCTTGGCCGATCTGGGGGTCGTTTGCCTTATGGTGTTAGAATGACTGCAATGGGCAGCAGCCCCAACATTGCCAGTAGCGGGGTCGCCAGCGATACGATTGCATTTGGAGAACATCACCTTCCTCCTGTGAGCATGGCTTCTACAGTGCCTCATTCACTACGCCAAGCCAGGGACAACACAATAATGGACCTGCAGACACAACTAAAGGAAGTTCTCCGGGAAAATGATATATTGCGGAAGGATGTAGAAGTGAAAGAAAGCAAACTTAGCTCCTCCATGAACAGTATCAAGACATTCTGGAGTCCTGAGCTGAAGAAAGAGAGGGCCCTGAGGAAAGACGAAGCATCCAAAATCACGATTTGGAAAGAGCAGTATCGGGTGGTTCAGGAAGAAAATCAGGTTAGCAAACTAAAGACTTAAGCAGGGGGGGGGGGAAAGGGTGTGTGGGAGAGTGGGAAAATGCAGTCGTAATAGTAGGTAGGTTTTGAATAATTCATTGCTGTGAAATTCCACAGTGAATACAATAAGCTTATCCAATCTGACTGGTTTTAACAAGACAGAAAGGTTCTGTCTTAGCTTTTTCTATATTACCTGGGTAAATATTTAACAGGGGCAACTTCTTTCTCTCCCCATTTTCAAAGTCCCAAGAACAGGTAGTCATCCCACAATTTTCTGTTGCTAGCCAAGACAGCTGTTAAGTGAGTTTTGCCCCATTTTATGGCCTTTTTTGCCAGAGTTGTTCGGTGAATCCACTGCAGTTGTCAAGTTAGTAACACAATCGTTAAGTGAATGTGACTTTCCCATTGACTTTGTTTGTCAAAAGGTTGCAAAAGGTGATCACATGACCCTGGGACTCTGCAGCCATTATAAATATGAGCCAGTTGCCAATCATCTGAATTTTGATCACGTGACCATGGGAATGCTGCAATGTTTTAAATTATATTTTTCAGTACCATTGCAACTTGGAATAGTCACTAAATGAATGGTTGTAAGTTAAGGGCTACTTGTAGTATAAATATATTATCTGATTTCTTCAGGTCAAAATCCATTGCATAATACAGAAACACTGTAATTCATAATATCATGAAGTAATTATTAATTTCAAAGCACAATTAATCAACAGTACCTAATTTGAAAACTTAACAGTTAACACAGTCTTGGTATTTTAAAACCTTGTTTAATTTTGGCTCCAATTTTGGCTACAGGTAGATATAATCATAGAACAAATATTCATAGATCCAATTCCTACCTCAGTAGTGATAGAATACACTGCAAATTAGATAGGACACTGCAAAAACAAATGCAGGTGGTCCTCATTTAGTGACCACTTGTTTAGTGGCAATTCAAACTTAAAATGTCACTGAACAAGCTGTAGTTGTGACTGACTTAGTGACCAGGTTTAAAGTGGTGATGACCCCCCCTGCTGCCTATGGTCAGGTAATTTTCACCTTGGCAGTTGGTCTACATTTATGGCTGTTTGCAGCATCCTACAGTCACATGACTGCTGTCACTGTTCTGATTCTCCAAAATCAAAAAACAAAAATAAAAGATTCGATTAAATGCTTTTAATTCTGGCAGGCCTGGAAACATCAGTACATAGCAACCAAAACAAAAGGCAGCAATAACTTGCTGCTCTCCCGCTTATTTAACCCCGCTCCCTGTGCACGCATGGCTGTTGTACTTCGCAAGAGGCCTAAGAGGCCTGGAATCTTTCTGTTGGGCCTAGTTCTTTCTTCTGCTGCCGGCCTGCTCTCCAGTTGATTGTCATCTGACTGCTTCTTCATTGTCCACCTCCCACGCCGTGAGTCTACTGTTTTTCATTATCCCTGCAAGCCAGGGTGTTAAAATCAAGGCCCGGGAGCCAGATCCTCCCCGCGGGGTGTTTATATCTGGCCCATGGGGCCACCCTGGAAATAGCAAAGGACCCGCCCACGGTGCTTCTGCCAGTGAAAACGGAGCTCGGCACACAGCCCTCCTGAGCTCTGTTTTCACTGGCAGAGGGTGGGAGGAGACTGACATAGCCGAAAGTGGAACTCAGAAGCCTGTTTTCACAGGCAGAGCGCTCATGCCACCACAGGCACAATCGACACAACTGACGTCATGCTGGTCACACCTATCCTCCCCCCCCCCCAAGGTCAAACACAACCCTGATGCAACCCTCAATGAAATCAAGTTTGACAACCCTGCTGTAAGCCTTCCCCTCCTGAATGGCAACCCAGAGACGGTCTGCTGGAGGCTCGCCATTTTGAGGGTTGACAACTGCACTTTCTGACAGTTTTGCCAAAAACTGGCACTTATTTCAGGTTTTCAGCAAAACCGCTCCCATAGAGAGCCAGTGGTTCACTTTAATGACCATGACATTTCCTTAACAACCATGGATTCACTGAATGACTGCTGGAACTTTCTAAATGACTACTGCAAAAAAGGTCTACAGTTGGGTTGGTCATGTGACCAATCTTCTTTACAGCTCTCACAAATTATGGCTGTGATGGGCGGGGGGCGGGGTCCATTATGGTCAGAACCCAGGGACTATATGCATCATTAGGTCATGCTTGCTTGTGTTTGCAACATCCCAAAATATTCATATGGAATGGGCATTTTAAACCACCTCCAAGTGAGATTGAGAGGGGAACAATAATACCTCGCTTCTTTGTATAAAGACCTATTAGACTCCTGAGATTTGAACTGAACCTTCTGTGACAAATTTCAAAGGGTTCTTGAAATGGACCATTTCTGAGAGTTTTTTATGATTGAGGAAAAAAGAGAGCAATGGGATGCTGAGTTTAATATGGAGGAGTTTAAGAATTTATTTACGGCTTTTAGAATTTTTATTAACAGTGGAGAGTTTTCCTTAATGGCCTGTAAAGAAGGTTAAAATGAAGAAGGGCAAGGCTTTCAAACAGTTTTTTGGCTGCAGCCCCCATATTATGGGATAGTTTTAATCTGCAGATTAGATTAGAGTCCTCATTGCTCACTTCAGGAAACTTATTTAAAATAAAGCTGTTCTAGAAGGAATCGGGAATAAATGTCACAACTATGCTTACTGTATTAAGGCAAGCTATTTGTATATGGAATGAAAGCATTTGGGTGTTAGGTTTTTATTATGTTTTTATGATATAAACTGTCAGGAGTCTTAATTCTGACAATTTATAAACAATGAATGAATGATCCTCGTATCTAAAATAATAAAATAATTCTTTTTAATTTAAAAATGCATGAAAAGCTATGGCTTTTTGGTCAGCCAAATAATATTCAACAGAAGAGGATACAGTGGCTTTTCTATATAATTCTGTGCACCCTTTCTAATTGTTCATTTAAACCCCACTATAATTACCACTATAATGATAGGCTTGTGGAACAATGGCCAAAAAGGAAGGGTGTTATTTAAAAGCATGGTGAAATATATAATGACATGTGAATGCTTGGTATCCTAATTTGCCAATTCATGTCTAATTGAATTGTTCTACATCCTCTATACCACTTGCATCTAGTGATTTCTGCCCTTTATATTGAAGACCCAGATAATGAAATTTACCATATGTTTTGCACTATAAGATGCTCCAGACTAAGACACAGCTTTTGGGGAGGAAAGCAAAGGGGAAAAAATCTGCCTCTGCCTCTGCCCCTAGCAATTGGCCTTCTTGCAGCAAACAGCTGGATTTAGCACAAGCAGCTGATTGGCGGTTGGATTGGCCTCCCGGAATACTGATGATCAGCTGTTCCAGGTTGCGGGGATCGCCGCCACCTATTGCTGCCTCCGCATGCCCCATTTTCAGCGGCAATCCCTGCTTTCCATTATATCATTTATATCTATGGTTTACCTAATGAAACTCTTTTTCTAAGTATCCAAGTGGTAGAATGATATATGGCACAGCTCTACTGAAAACAAAATTACATACCTGACCATAATGAAGCTTTTATTTAGTAGACCTTGCTTTACCCAACTTTCCATGCAATAGACTATATTTCTGCAATGATTTGAATAATTTGCATATTATGTAGTGATGCAAATGACGTAAATTAATACCAGTAGGTTAAGCCATCAAAGTGACCCACATCGTATTTGACAATCATTTGTAAATCACAACTATAACCACCTCACCTGTACACTAAAATGTTTAGCTGTAATTCACTTTTTTTGCCAACTTTAGTTCTTCCAAATTTACTATACAATTCTAAATTTAGTCCCAAAATATTTGCTTTGGAATAAAACTAAGAAAAAATGGTGCATTCCAGATGATTTAGACTATAACTTATATGATCTCTGGCCAGGAATTGAATTTTATTTATGGGCCAGCTGTTATTTGGTTTGCAAGCTGACCTTTTCCTCTCCTGAGTCCATAATACAACAAAAACCCAGGTGGAATATATCAAAACATGCCTTTCCTTTCCTTGATTCTATGTCACATGCAGAATGCTGGAGAGAAACAAATTTTGATTCTCCATTCTGTATGTGTTATCCACCTATGCACGCCTATTCTTCAGAATCTTCTACAGCTTGAGGAGATCTTTTGTTTGTAATTTTAGTGCAATTTTTAATAAATATAGTAAAAACTAACACAAAGTAAACTAGAAGAAAAGAAAGGGAGTCCAGAAGATTATAGGAAAAAGAAAAGAAAAAAAGCAGAAAATGAAAAAGGCAACAAAGACAGAAATAAAAAGTGGCTTCCAATTTCTATTACACAGAACATGAGCCAATGTACTAACTTTTCATTCTGTTTTAAAATTACAAATACAAAAACACTTCTCTCCATAGCCTAAGTTTTAGCAATCAAGAAATCTTATCTTTTCCATCCTAATTCAGCAAAAAGTCTATTAGGAGTTACCAGAAATCTCAAATGAATAGTTTAGCCCTGATCAAATAGTCCAATGTTATATTCCTTATTTTTGTTGTGCTTTAAATCATTCCTATGGTATTGCAGGATTTGATCTTTTATCAATCTCTGCCATTTAAAGGGAATCTTTCATTAGCCTATTTTTTTTAAATCCCATAAAAAGACATCATCCTGGGTTTTCTTGTCACAGCTATTCCATGTCCAGATCTTGTTCTTGATTTTCTATAATATTTATGTCAGGTAAACGTTTTGTAAAGTTTTTCTCATCATCTTTTAAAAGTTTATCCACTGAAATCTGTATTGTTACTGAGATATTAGTTATTTATGCCAGTCAATGTTTCAAAAAAGTATTTAAGATAAGAAAAAGTTATAGTCAGCTTAGCTATGTTAACTCTTTTCTGCCTGGTCCTTTAGGTCCCTCTAGTGTCCAACTGCAACATTTATTGAGCCTCACTTCCTATATAGATTTAGTTTCATTTCAGTCATTTCTTGTAAGTATATTATTTAATTATACTTGTTTTTCAAATCTTACAGCAAAAATAACCAATATTCCAAATCTTTCTG